GGGGGGGGGAAAATGCACCTTCGCCTGAGTTGGCAAAAATCCTTGCACCGGCCCTGGCTACAGGCAGAAGATATTTTTGACTAACCAATTAGCGAGAGACACAAGACTTTAACTAACAGCTCCTCTAGTTTGCCCAATAGTACAAGACATTTAGAGATAACAGAGGTGGGCATATGTGTGACGAACACTCTCCTGTTATCTGTGTATAAAGGAGAGAGATCGCCCTGAATACAATTAGAGCTTTCATAGACCGTTACCTTCTGAGTTTGTGATTTCTCCGGTGCACCGTAACAACTTAATTAGAAACAGCAGCAGACATCTTGTGTGAACCCAGTTGTGGTTCAGATCCATTTCACAATCACTCAGCAGCAAAACTGCATGTGGAATTGTAGTTTTTGTCAACTGAAGAACAATTGGATCTTTTACTTTATAATCTTAAACCAATCTGAGGCCATGTCCCCATGTTCATTTTTATTAAATTACAACCCCACCTGGAGCTCCTCTCGCCTGATCAGCGCGCCGCTGACTCATCCCTGCTCCCCTAATTTCAGTTTAAAAAGAAGGCTTCTTTCTGATTTAGTTGCAACACAAATAATAATAGACTCACTTTGACCGGTAGATACAAATATACCAGCAGTTTGATTGTCCCTGTTCTTACTGATACAAAACTGTCCTGCCACTGTCCAATACCTGCCACTGTCCAATACCTGCCACTGTCCAATACCTATCAAGCTCTCATTAAGAATTCAGGGACTGCAGATGATACAGCAGTGGATAATTGACCAGCAGCAGGACAATTCTATAACGCACGGCTAGGCCTAAATTTATTAGAGACAAAGCGCACAGGTTGGGGCTTTACTACAGGAGTTAGGATACTGCAGAGGATACAGCAATGTAAAATTGACCAGTGTATGCCTAACTTGACCGGTGTATGCCTAACTTGTATTATATCAATGGGTATGGGGTGTGTGGTGAACTTGATAATATGAGGTGGTTTAGGTGCACACTGTTCTTGAACCTGTTTTTTTTTTTCTCTTTCAAATGACGCAGCAATGTGCAAACAAAAGGTAAAAGTAATGAAATGTTTCCAATGACTTACTCTTTTTTCTTTCTTTCTTGTATAACACATAAAACGTGACGGTTCCCAGTACTAAGATCAGCAATGCAGCGACAATTGCAACAGAGGTTTTATGTTTTGCCCTCAGATCTAAAAAGTAGAATTAAAAAAAAATCTGTTTATATCTCCCACACTCAGGGGGTTTATTCTCTAAAGCTTGCGTGCATGTGTTTTGTGCTTTATTGTGCGTTATTTTCATGATTGTATAGAAATATCAAATTGGTTGAATCACAAAAGCAATTACTTCAAGTTGTTGATGCAAATCAATAATGACGGGCAGAGTGCCAAGCGACTGGCGGAGGGCTAATGTGGTACCTATATTCAAAAAAGGGTCAAAATGCCAACCTGGGAGCTACAGACCAGTTAGTCTAACACTGGGTTCACACCTAGGCGTTTTACGTATGCACGTCTGTCGCGCGACCGTCACACGGTTTTTTTACCGCGATTCGCGGTAAAAAAATTGCGCGACCGTCGCGCGATTCCGAAGGCTGCTTGGCTGTATCCCAATGGAAAACGCCCTCCAAAACGGCTCAAAGAAGTACATGTACTTGTTTGGGCGTCAGCCGTTTTGTAGGGCGTTCAGACGGGCGGAAATACGGAAAGGTGTGAACCATGCCCATAGAAAACAATGGGATTTTCATGGTTGTACGTTTTGTAGAGCGTTCATAGAGCGTTGAACGCCCGACAAAACGGAAAGGTGTGAACGGGGCTTTACATCCATAGTATGCAAAGTGTTAGAGGGATTTATTAAGGATTACTTAGTGGAATTTGTTCAGGATAATGGCATAATTACTGATAATCAGCACGGATTTAGGAAGAATCATTCTTGCCAAACCAACCTGCTAACCTTTTACGAGGGGATAAGTAGAGATCTGGATGGAGGGAGGCCGGTGGATGTAGTATATCTGGACTTTGCCAAAGCATTTGATACGGTGCCACATAAACGCTTGTTATACAAGCTAAGGGCTATAGGCATAGATGAATTGGTGTACACATGGATAGAAAACTGGCTACAGGAACGTGCACAAAGAGTATCAGTAAATGGCACCTTTTCAGACTGGGTTGAGGTCATGAGTGGCGTGCCCCAGGGTTCTGTGCTGGGCCCCATGCTCTTTAACCTATTTATTAATGATATCGGGGAGGGAGTGTAGCCATGGCTCAGTGTTTGCTGATGATACAAAAATTGGGAGGGTAATAGACATGGATTTAGACAATGTAAAATTACAGGAGGACTTGGATAAAATAGGGGAGGGGCAACTTTATGGCAGATGAGGTTCAATGTCGATAAATGTAAAGTAATAGACTTTGGAGTTAAAAATGAGCAAATGGCTATACACTTATGGGTGTGCCACTTGGGAAGTCGGAAATGGAGAAGGATTTGGGGGTCATTGTAGACCACAGATTGAAGAATAGCTTGCAGTGCCAGGCTGCTGTTAACAAAGTAAGCAGAGTTCTGTCTTGCATTAAGAAGGGAATGTCTTGCAGGGACAAGTTTACAATTTTGCCACTTTACAGATCACTGGTTCGGCCGCATCTGGAGTATGTGGTCCAGTTTTGGTCACTGGTACTCAGAAAAGATGTCCTTGAGCTAGAAAAAGTCCAGCAGAGGGCAACAAAACTCATTAGGGGTTGGAGGACCTGAACTATGAAACAAGGTTGTTAAAATGAAATATGTTTTCTTTGGAGGTTAGCTGATTTAGGGGGGACATGACTTTCTTGTATAAACTGTTCAATGGTTACAGCAACATTACTAACAAACTCTTTACTGTTAACTCGGTAACAAAGACCAGAGGGCACCACCAAAAATTGGTGGACATTTTTTTTTTAGCACACGTGGCGCAGGGGGTTCTTCACAGTTAGAGCGGTTAAGGTCTGGAGCTCGCTGCCGCAGGAGGTGATTTCACCTAAGAGTCTGGAATCATTCAAGAAACTATTGGACGGTTTCCTCGGAGACCGTAACATACAGGGCTACATGTACGCCTAAGAGCAAAATTACACATGGACTCATACACACGCACACACCAGCTCAAACATAAATGCACACACGCAATAGGTTGGACTTGATGGACTTATGTCTTTATTCAACCTCAGATACTATGTAACTATGGGGTCTATTCACGAAGCTGCCGAGGGCAGCCGAGTGAATGACTGATCTGAAGTGAAGTGAGCCGAACACTGTTCGGCTATTCACTTCAGGCTGGTATGGCTGATTTCAGCCGTACATCGGCTGAAATCAGCCGTACATCGAGTGGCTTCGGGTCGGCCGACCCGAAGTGCAGAAGGAGTTCGACTCAGCCGATCCAACATCTGGATCGGCTGAGCCGAACCTCCGGCAGGCTTCTCACTGCTGTTCGGGCTATTCTTAAAGATGCCGAACAGCAGTGAGTGAATAGCCGAATGCCGCTGAGCAGCATTCGGCTCGGCTGTTCTGCTCGGTCCCTCAGAGGTACCGAGCAGAACAGAAAAAGAGTGAAAAAAGTAAATAGAAAACAATTGTGCGGAGCTAGCAGTGACAGCTAGCTCCGCCCAATAGTTTCCTATTGTCCGGCGGCTCTGCTGCTGTAGAAAAAAAAAGAAAAAAAAAACTCTCCCGGGCGCTCTGGGAGCCTCCCGCTCCCGGCCACCTAGGAGAAAAGCACTGATGTGTCTTTTTTTCTTTATAGTAAACTAGCATTGTACCCGCCCTCTGCTGATGGACCTGATGGGGAACTGCAGCAGAGAGCGGGGACACTGCTAGTTTACTATTGGCTATTGCAAATCGAAATAGCCAATAGTAATGTACCAATGCTTTTCTATGGGAAAATTCTTTTTTTTTTTTCTCTATTCTGACATCGCTCGTGTCAGAATAAAGAAAAAAAGACACAGCTGTATTTCTCTCCTTGGCGGCCGGGAGCAGGAGACTCCCGGGCCGCCAGGGAGAGTTAGCTGTTTGGAGATCAGTGCCCCTGGTTCTACTGAACCGAAGGGGTCCTGGGGCCGAAGCTAGCCGAAGGATCGGCCGAAGCTACGGCCAGATCCTTCGGCAGCTTTGTGAATAGACCCCTATGTAAAATACCTGTAAATGCTGCATTCCATAATGTGCTTTACCAGATCAGTGGGGCATTTTAACATTTGTTATGACCAGTTCTTAAGATGAATAAACAACTGATGGGACTGATCATCCTGGTTAAAATGGATTAAACCCTCACATCAAACTTCTCTTATTTGCTCCCTTTTGGTCTGTTCAATATTGTAATTTAAAGTGTTTTGAAAATCAGAATGCCGGAAAAATGCCGGCTGTCGACTTTACAATAGAAGCAATTCTGGCAGATCACCTGCGGCCAGATCGCTTCTATGGGTCGGTAAAATGCCCGCCCCCGCCAGACACCCCCGCCGTGTTTCTCGGGCTCCGCTGCCCCTTCTGTGGGCCTGGGGCCGTCATGTCGGGAGCTGGCGGGAAGCTGGGAAGGAGAGCGGTAAACATCCGTTGAGCGATCTCCTCCCTGCTCTATGGGAACTATGGGAATGTGCCTGTATCAGTGGTCACATTATGGCCAGGAGTAAGTAATATTTGGTGTACACAAGTTGCTGACCACATTGCTTGCTAAGACTTCCACTGGGAACAACACACAGCTACATAACACCAGATGGAGTGCTATTGGCTGTTCCAAACCATTGTACAGCAGCAATAATGCCTATAAAGCATTTTCTGCCAGCTTTTTAACCTCTACATGTCATTGCAGTTATCATTTTACAAATAAAAATGTTTGTAACCATTGTACAGTTTCTCTTCATTTATGTGTGTAGCTTATTTTGCAGTATTCTCTGTAAAAGGCGAGTCACTCACCAATGCCTTGCACCAGAAGTCTCTCCACATGTGGGGTGGTGAGGGTTGCATGATCAACCACACAACTCAGCTCCATGCCCCAGTTCTGCTCTGTTGGGATGAAGTGATAGACAGATTCCACAGCCGAGCTGCTGATCCTCTGGAGCTTGGCATTCTCCAACAGGGTGTCATTCAAGAACCAGTTCACAGTGATGGATTCTGGGTAAAACCCAGAAACATTACACACCAAACTCTGCTCCACATCCAACTCGAATGTTTGGGAAGTAATCTGAACATTTGGAATTTCTGCAATAATCACAAAATCACAAAAGCAATTACTTCAAGTTGCGTCTCCACTGTTATTACAGTGTTTGTTTTGTATAGGTTCTTTGATAAAGGTTTAAAAGTTTATTGAGGGAGTGAGTGTAGAGATAAGAGACAGACACCTAATAGTCTCTAATATCTGCTGTCAGTCAGTAAAGTTATATGAAACAGTTACATAAATACTCATTGCACTTCATTCTGAAGTAAACTTATGCCCAGACCATGGACATTAAAGTATTTACATATTACAAACTAGCCATAAAAGAGCTACAAAGCAAGCTGTCATTGAACTCTGTAGTTGCTTGCACTGTGGAGTAATTTACCCTCAAAAGTCACAAGAGACTCTAAAGTCGGATTTCAGTCAGTTTCTAGCATCTTACAAGCACCTGGTGTTTGTCTACATTAGATGAATGGCAGGCTGCCAAGATTCTGTTTCCATTGAAAGTATAGGGGAAAGATTCTGTGATTTCAAAGCCTCTGTTGCAAAGTTTGAAGATTCATTTTTACACAGAACCTGCAGCTACAGAGGTGAGTTACAGCTTATTTTATTGTGATTTTTACTGTTCAGAATATGTAACTATTTTAGTAGGTATAGTCTGGGCATAGGGTCACATTAAGCTATCAGTGTAACATATCCTAATTCCCTCCTCCCATGACCATGACATGATTCAAGACACGCCCCTCACCTCATGTTTTGTGGGGAGGCAGATGATGTATCCCATACTATCTCATACACAGATGTACTGGGGTTTTGCAGGTTGCCAATAGGCAACAGACATAAGGAGGTTGTGGTGGGTCTAGGGTTTTGTTACACAGAATATTGAACTATTCATATGCAATGTTTTACATCAATCTGACTGAAAAGAGTTTTATTTTTTAGTCCCAACCAGAAAGAAAGAAAAAAAAATATACAAAAGTTATGTAATTCCCTTTAGGAAATAATAACTGAGGATGTTTATGTTATGAACTTTTCTTAGATTAATCTTCCAGAAAATGCAGATAACATGCAGATCATAGATAACTTAGTACATACAGAGTAATAATAATATTACCTCCATACACCAGCCGGAAGTCCTCTTGGAGAGGTGCAGTAAGAGACTCGTGTTGGACTCTACAGGAGAAGATCCGCTCTCTGTCCTCCTCAGTGGGTGTTATTGTTACTGAGCTCCTCACACTGTACGTCCCATCCGGGTCTCTCTGAGGTATCTCCATGATAACATTGGCCAATATCTCTCTATCTCGGAGCCATTTGATGTCAATGTCCACCGGGTAGAATCCAGAGATGACACTGCGCAGGACGCTCTCTCTGTTTTTAACAACTAATGTTTCTGTAATGGTGATCTGTGGCGGAGCTATAAAATATACAGAACATCATGTGCTACCAGCATCATAACCAGTTAAAGGATCTGCCCCCCCAAAAGTGATATTCTAGTCATAGATGGACCCTGTTGGGTTAAGTTACTCCTGACCTCGTATATGTCTTTGATACTACAGTAATTAAACCCCCCTAGCTATATTTCCTGCCAATATTCTTGCTCACTTGGAGTTTTGGGTGTTCTTATCCATGTTTGTGTGTTGCAGCTCCTCCTTTTACATTCTGCATACTATAAAATACATAACAAATCCAACAGGTAGAGTGGAGCAACTGATAATAGACACAGCAGACGTGCTGAACTCTCCCCGAAAGGGTTCATGAGAGATAGAGGGGACTGTCAGGTGGTTTAACTCCCCAGCATCAACTAAAAACTAAAATATCAGTTTTGGGGGGACTGTCTCTTTCGAAGCGTTAGTCCTGCACACATTAGGCACATTCATTCCTATCTAACTGGTAGAGTTCTAGTGTACGAATCATTTTCATATTCTGATCTTCACAGAATATGAGAGAATCAGGGAGACCGAGACTGCCATAAGTACACAGAGGTTAGCTGAGAACAGCATGAAGCAGGTGCAGTGGCGCAGTACAATAAAAACATGTGGCATCAGAAGATTAACAGTCTGGGCACTTGGCTGAAGACCGGGGTCACGTCTCCTGGGTGTGATGTCTATAAACACATGTTATCAGCTATGACAAAGGCTATTCTCATATAAATGATCATTATCGATCAATTGATTAAAAACTTGATTTGAAATAAAATTCCTCAGAAATAAAGCCAAGTCTATCTTGATGTAAATCAACTTATTGAGGTTTTATTGTCATATTACATCTCTCCATAATGATAGTAGAGGATGTGTAAGGTAATAAAGAATACATAATAATGAGGAAACTAAATCTAGCTAATAAGTAAAAACAATGTTATTTCAGTGTACTGCGACCTTTTAGGCTGAAAACACTTCTTTGCATTTGATTTAAAATGAATTAAAAAGGCATCACAATGCAAAGCTGTGAAAGCGCCCTTAGTGTGCACGCCTTTGTCTGACACTCAGGGGTCTATTTATAACCAATTTGTAGAGCCATTCACCCTACTGACCGTTCATTCTGTGTGAATAGATGCAAACATGAATGTTCTTAGATATATATTTTTGTTTTTAGGGTGAATACATTTAATGTAATCCTGCATTATGGCCCCAAGATGGAGGCGAGGAGCACAGGAAATAAATACATATTTACTATGCTCATCAGTTTTATCTAGTGGCCAACATTCAGTATTACATTACATAGATTTAACCAGAAAAGAAAGTATAAATAAGAAAGTTTGGTTTTGCATTTATTTGCACAGTGTGAACGTTCAGAAAGATTTGTATTGCCAATGGATCTGTGAATTGGTTATAAATAGACCACTAAGGGCGTGGCTTAACAATGGCGCTGTAAAGACGCGTCTTTCTGGAGCTCTGCACCGGCCGGCACTCACCCACACTCCAGGCAATGATACTCCCCATCCTTCGCATGTCCCGGCTCCCGATAGTCCGTCCTGACTGACTTCTTCGCCCCCGCTGACGCCTCGGGCCGGATAGGTGGGTCGTCCAACATGGCGACCACGCGATCCACGGCAGTAGGCCCCACATCGTCTAAAACAAGGGGCAAGGCGGCGGCTCCTCCAGCGGATGTCTCGGAACCGACCCGGGACCGGTCCCCATCCCCCATCTCCTCGCCTGTAATCCAGCATACAGACGCGGGCACCCGCCCGACGCTTGAGGGGGGGAGGGGGGACTGGAGAGAGATCCTCCCGAGGCTCACCACTAAGGGAGACCTAGAGGCCATGGCAGCAACAATAGTGGTGGCCCTCAGGCATGAAGTGCAGGAGATTGGGCAGAGGGTGACAGCAATAGATGGCAGGGTGTCCACACTAGAAGAATCAACAGCCTCTCTCACTCAAAGGATGTCGGCCTTGGAATCGGCCCACTCTGATATGACCTCACAGATTACAACGGCGTTCCTTAGGTTGGACGACGGTGAAAATCGCAACAGACGAAACAACCTGCGTCTGAGGGGTATCCCTGAAGCTACTACTGGAAGGGATCTGCGATCCACAGTCCTGGCGATTCTCAATCACTACATGGACAAACCACCTGACGCGGCCATGGAACTGGACCGGGTACACCGAGTCTTGGGGGCCCGCCCACAGGCGTCCACTAACTCCCCACCTCGAGATGTCTTATGCCGGGTCCATTTTTATGGGATCAAAGAGGAAATCTTGCGTCAGGCCTGGCACAAGGGCCCGATGGACTTTGATGGCGCGACTATCAACATCATGCCTGACCTGTCCAGACATACCCTTCGCATGCGGAGAGCCCTGCGGCCCTTGCTGGAGATCATCCGATCCTCGGACGTTTTTTACAGATGGTGTCACCCTTTCCACCTTATAGTGAGGAAGGAGGATGCCACATTACAGCTACACCATCCCCAACAGCTACCGGCTGTGTTCTCTTTCCTGGGGGCGGTGGCTATTCCTATCCCGGACTGGTTGGACTTCTCCGATGATCGATTACCGCCCGCCTCACCCCCACATGGCGCACCCAGACCGAGGCGGTCCCGCAGCCGACCCAGCCGACGCTGGGCGGCATCGGCTCCCCTCCTGGGCACAGTAGTCACGGTTACTGGGGACTGCTACATTTTATGTTACTTTACTTAATTTTGACTTTATTGATGTTGTGGGGATGTTTTGCCCAGCTGATGCATCTCCAACACCGCTATTGTTTTGACCACTGTGTTATTACCACTCTACCCCCATAGGTCAAGCGTTCATGCCCTAACCACACAGGGGTGTTCGCTAATTGAAAGTTTTGGCTGACCTGTAGTCAGTGTCAGCAACATTCTATTTTTCTGACTTTTCCTGCTAGTGCTCTACTTCCCTCCTTCTGCACTATCTCATCTCGCATTTGTCTCTCACCCACCCTCACTGCCCCCCCCCCCCCCACCTTTCCCTCCTGCCCTACTGGCCCGTTGACAGGTCCTGTATATGGTAGGTGGAGGCCATGGCTCCGCTCTCAGTATATTCCTCGAATGCCAGGGGCCTCAACATCCCTGAAAAACGCTCTAGGTTACTATCTGACCTGTGGAGAGCTAGGGCACAGGTCGCCTTCATTCAAGAAACACATTTCAAACGAGAAGCGGCCCCCAAGCTGGCCAATCCTGACTACCCGGTGGCGTATCATGCTGTGTCCACGCTCTCCAAGTCCAAGGGAGTGAGCATATTGCTATCCAGACTGGTGGACTGGACTTGGGTTGACCAGCTAGTAGATGAGATGGGTCGATACCTGGTGGTGAAGGGACGCTTGGGCGGGATCTTGGTGACACTGGCCAATGTATATCTGCCCAACTCGGACCAGCTCCAGTTTCTAGACACCTTCCTCACCCGCCTGGCGGAGTTCCAAGAGGGGATTCTGCTATTAGGAGGCGATTTCAACGTGGCCCTAGACCCTACCATAGATACCTCTAGAGGTGTCTCCCACCTCTCCTTCCCTTTTCTCAGGAAGTTCAAACTGGCCCTCCAGCAACTTCACCTTGTGAACGTGTGGCGTACCCTGTTCCCTGATGGACTGATTACACCTACTATTCGACAGTACACCAATCCTACTCCAGGGTAGATTACCTCATGCTTCACCACGCGGACCTGTCTAAGGTTATGTCGGCGTCTATTGGCTCACCCCTTCTATCTGATCACGCTCGATTCAGTTATCTGTGGACCTTCTTGCCCCCACATCCCGATGTTCCTCCTGGAGGCTCAACGAGTCTCTCTTGCAGGACCCCATCATTCGGGGAGAGGTGTCGTCCTCCCTGCTGGAATATTTCCATACTAATGGCGAGGACGGTGCTGACCCTCTGAATGTATGGGAGGCACACAAATGTGTCATATGGGGCGTACTCATTAAACACGGAGCACGGCGGAAGCGGGAGGGTATTGCCCATACCGAGGCCCTATTGGCTCGTCTCCGCAAATTGGAGGCGGTCCACAAGCGGTCACTCGCAGTGTCGACCTACAAGGAGCTAGTACAGGTCCGTACGGCTCTGAATGCCCAACTGTTCTTGAAGGTTAAGCGGCACGCCTTGTGGGGCCGCAGGGCTTTCTATGAACACGCAAATAAACCCAGCAAATATCTAGCAGCCGCTTTACGGGGCCCGAAACATAAAACTTTCATCTCCCACCTAACCTCCAGACAGGGTTCCCGGCTCACGCTCTCTACGGACATGGCGGAGGAGTTTTGCGACTTCTACCGCCGGCTCTACAACCTACAGCCAGATCCCCTGATTCGGGAGTCGCCGGCCTGGCTGGCGGCGATAGACTTGTACCTTCAACAGGCGGGCCTTGCTGCCATATCGGTGGAGGGGAGAGAGGGGCTGGAGCTTCCCATCTCCCCGGAGGAACTACAGGGAGCGTTAAAGCAGGCCAAGACGGGTAAAGCCCCGGGGCCGGATGGTTTCACGATCCCGTACTATCGTGGGTTTCAGGATCTGTTATCGCCCCACTTCTTGAAAGCCTATAATTCCATACTTCTCAACCGCCCTGTTCCGTTAGACTCCTTGAGGGCGCATATCGTGGTGATCCCTAAGGAAGGGAAAGACCCAGCGCAATGCGGGAGCTTTCGTCCAATAGCCCTACTTAATGCTGACATCAAATTGTTCACCAAAATTCTGGCTAACAGGCTCTGGCCTATCGTCCGGAACTTAGTGCAAGACGATCAAGTGGGGTTTGTTTTAACTAGGGAGGCCAGGGATAGCACAGCTAGGGCCCTCAATATCATACATGGAGCTTGCTCCACCTCCTCCCCGCTGATGATCCTCTCCACAGATGCCGAAAAGGCGTTTGACAGGGTGGATTGGGCATGGCTACTTGCCCTCTACTCTCGTCCCACAGCGGCAATACGGGTCAATGAGACCAGATGTCCGTATTTCCCTCTCACGAACGGGATCCCTGACTGCTACAGGTATCTGACACTTTTTTCCTGCTGCACACTGCTGTTCATCCCACTGGCTCTTAGGTTGCTAAAGGACATAGATCATAGATCCTTGGTTCGACCTCATCTGGAGTACGCGGTCCAGTTCTGGTCACCAGTACTAAGAAAAGATGTCCTTGAGTTGGAAAAAGTCCAGCGGAGGGCAACCAAACTAATTAGGGGTACGGAGGACCAGAGCTATGAGACAAGGCTACTAAATTTAAACATGTTCACATTAGAGGTGAGGAGATTAAGGGGGGATATGATTTCCATGTACAAGATGTTCAATGGTGGTAGCAACATTAGCGATAAACTGTTTAAAATTAACTCCATTACAAAAACTAGAGGCCACCACCTAAAATTGGTGGAAAAAAAATTCCAGCACAAGGGGCGAAGGGGGTTCTTCACAGTAAGATCAGTTAGGGTCTGGAACTCACTGCCACAGGCGGTGATTTCAGCAAATAATGTGGAATTGTTCAAGAAACTTTTGGACGATTTCTTAAGGGACCGCAATATACAGGGGTACAGGTACTCCTAGAATGAGATCCTAATAGGTTGGACTTGATGGACTAATGTCTTTATTCAACCTCAAATACTATGTAACTATGTAACATACATACCGGTGAGATTAACCACAACTCATGAATAGGGAGCGAGTATTCAACACACCTGGAAGTGTCGGATACCTACATTGGCCACGGATCTGTTACATGACAGAGTTTTCTGGAACCGCCCCCTCCCAGAAAGGTAATATGCAGTATCTACTTTTGCAGTCTGGGCTTACTGCAGTTTAGACCCCATAGTGACAGGGTGACTCTAAGTGGGAAATAATATGGAATAAGGTGTTTCTTAGTGACTATACTCTGACAGATAAACATTTACTCCCGTTGCTAACCATTAACTATTGGAACCCTGTGTGTTATTTGTCAATAATTAACTTTTCTGTGCTATGAAATCAGAGTGCTCATTAAATGCTTTGAACTCTGTACCTTGTATATCTAATCTGATCTCCTTTTCTTCCTTCTTTGGGGTGTACAGTATGGCGCACCTATAGATCCCTCCATACGTTATAGTGATGTCTGATATAGACAGATCAGCAGTTCCATTCTCTGCCCGGCCTGTATACGATATGCGAGGATCTCTTGATCTGACGTTGGCATTCTGAACACTTAATATCTCATTTCCCTGAAAGTACCAGGATATTCCTAGAAATTTCTGATCAATAGGAGGGTTATCGATTGTAAATGAGCAGGGAATGGTCACATCTTCCCCCATTATGGCTCGATGAGTTGAAGGAGCAGTCAGCTGCAGAGAGAGACCTGTAGAGGAGAAAACATTGTAGTTATGGTGATAGCTTGTTTCATTACAATGGTAGAGAAAAGTAACAAATGATTCTAGGAAGAGGGACTGACTTCCGATTAATCCTGACTGAAGCCCACAGCTACTGAGTACGGTTAATACACAAATTCTTCTCTATACCCCACCTTATAGTACATGTAAAACCTAACTGGGTGGGGGCGTGGCCAGCATGTGATCCGGAGTAGACGTGCGCCCGGGCAGCTCCGCTCCATAGAATATCCTGCCACTATCCTAGCGCTGAGTTTCTGCTACTTACCTGGGTTCAGGTGTTGCTCTACCTCTCTGGAGTCGGGACAGACCCTCGGCGGGGTTCTGCATGAAGCGGAACAAGTATAGATCGACCCGATCGTCGGGAGGCAAGCCTCGTGGTGGCTCGGAGGCGGCCATCTTGGCTGTGCTGGCTGAATGCAGCAAGATGTCTGTGGGCACGCAGACGAGTGTCCCGGCCTCGCCACCTAACTCTCCCTCTAGCTCGGACATCTTAGCGGCCATTACATCCTGCAAGGAGGCGCTCACCAGCAAGATCGACTCTTTATCCGCCGATGTGAGCTTCCTGCGCCATGACATGGAAAAATTCCGTACGCGCATGGGGGAAGCGGAGTCCCGGATTTCCCAGGTGGAGGAGACGGCACGGTCGGACACCGAGGAGCTCCGGAGGCTTCAACGGCAGGTACGGGGGCTACAGGAGAAGGCGGTGGATACCGAAAACCTGCTGCGCTGCAACAACGTTCGCGTGCTGGGCCTACCTGAACGGGTGGAGGGAAAAAAGCCGGCAGCATTTGCTGAGTCCTTCCTGGCTACACTCCTGGACCTGCAGGACTTGCCACTGACGTTCGTGGTAGAGAGAGCACATCGCGTTCCACCTGTCCCGCCGAAACCGGGGGCCCCGGCCCGGCCTTTTCTAATCCGTCTACTCAATTACAGGGACAGGGACCGGGTACTTGCCGCAGCGAGAAACTATCCTAATCTGCAATATGAGAATGCCCGTGTCTCCCTGTTCCCTGATTACTCTACAGACATACAGCAACGCCGCAGATCCTACACGGAGGTTCGTAAGAGGCTTCGGGAGAAAGACTTGCAATATGGCCTTATGTACCCCAGTCGTCTACGGGTTACCGATGGCGACACCACACGTTTTTTTGATACCCCAGCAGCGGCCGTGGCCTGGCTAGACAGCACCTGACCGGAGTCGCCTATTGAGGGTGCTGCCGCATGGTAAGCCAGTATTCCTCCTATCAGCACACCTTCTGTTTACACCGATTGCTCAGCGCCTCTGTAATGGGAGCGAAATAAGCCCTGGAATTTAGCGAAGTTCTCACCGGATCACTCTACTGCCCTAGCAGTGCTATTCCACCATCCATTGAACAGTACTGGGACCTGAACGCCTCCACTGCTGGGGCTGAAATGGTATGGGATGCATTCAAGGCCTATGTCAGGGGAGACTTCATGTCCTTACAGAAGGCAATTAAGACCCAGGACTCAGCCCGTACAGTGGAACTCCAAACGGAGGAGGCAAGGTGTCTCTCGAGTTATGAGTCTTTGCCCACCCCTGATAATTTAGACGCCTTGATGTCGGCGAGGCGCACGCTCCGCTTGCATCTGGCGGACCTAACACGAACTGATGTGCGTAGCCATAAACAAAATTTCTTTCAAAAAATGGGGATAAAAATGGGAGACTGCTGGCTATGCTGTCACAGACGACCCGGCCTCAGACGGTGGTTGCGGAACTGCGGTCTGGCCCGGACGCCTCTGTTACTTCCCCGGCAGATATCCTCGAGGGGTTTTGGAGTTACTACACCACCCTCTATTCCTCCTCACTACCGACGGACGCCCAGCCTCAGGGCCCACGGCCCCTGTTGGACTCAGTTGCCCTTGGCTGGTTGACTAACAGCCAACGGGATTTTTTGGTAAGACCCATAACTGAACCTGAGGTACTGGCCGCCATACACTCCTTCCCCAACGGGAAAACACCAGGCCCTGACGGCATCCCTATCGAATTTTACAAAACACATGCGGAATTAGTGGGCCCTAGACTATGCGAGATGTATACCTCGTGTTTAACTAAAGACTGTCTGCCGCCATCCATGTCTGGGGCTCATGTAATAGTGATCCACAAACCACCTCGGGATCCGACCTCATGTGCCTCTTATAGGCCCATTGCCCTACTTAATAGTGACTTCAAAATTCTGACTAAGCTTTTAAGTGTAAGACTTACCCAGCTGACGGACAGTTTGATAGACTCGGACCAAACTGGCTTTATGCCACGTAGATCCACGGACATTAATTTGCGCCGCCTATTCACAAACTTACATACGTCCCATCTCAACGCAGGAACGAGGGTGGTGGTGTCTCTCGATATAGAAAAGGCCTTTGATACGGTGGAGTGGTCCTACCCGTGGGTGGTGTTGGACAAAATGGGGTTCGCCCTGGAATTTACACGATGGATTAAATTGCTCTATCACGATCCTATGGCTTCCATCAAACTAGGGAATAAATTGTCAGCTCCCTTTCCTATCCGCAGAGGTACACGGCAGGGCTGTCCGCTCTCGCCCACTCTCTTCGCCTTGGCCATGGAACCCATAGCCGAAGCTCTGAGAACATCCCCTCATATTAGGGGGCTTAGAGTTGGCTGGGTGGAGGAGAGAGTGGCGCTATATGCGGACGACATGCTCTTATTCCTGAACTTACCAGGATACGTATGCTAACAGGAGTTGCCCGGGGAAATTTCATAAAATCTGGGATAGCTGGCTGGAATGCACTAATTCGGCAGCTGACATAGATGCCCGCTCCTGAGTAGGAATTAATGCCCAGGTTGGAAGGCTCCGGATAGATCTAGACAGAATCCGACCTGTGGGACCAGACGAGATAAGGCCCCATGCTTAGGATCACATATCCAACGACCTCCTATCCAGGCCAGGCCTCCTGGCGGTTATGGGGAGGTGCTGTGAGAAGACCTAGTGAGGCCCATTGACTAATAATTCCCCCACCTGAAATGTAGGACCGGAACTGTTTTTGTTTTGTTTGATTTTTCTTATTTTGCTCTTTGTTTTCTTCCTTTATTTTCTTTCCCACGGCTTTTGATGATCGGCTGAAATCAGCCGTACATAGGCTGCCTTCGGTCACCCGAACGGAGCCGAAGTGCAGAGGAACTATGACTCATCTGGATTGGCTGAGCCGAAGAGAGCAGTGAGTGAATAGCCCAATAGCTGGAAGAGCCTGAGCAACCGTTATGGCAAGATCATCGGGTGTTATTTTATTTGTGAGATGCATATTTAAAAAAAATGAAAATGCCTTTTAAATTTACAATAGTACAATAAAGGTTATATATGAGTTAACAATTGGGTTAGGATCTACTTCATGGCCAAGTTCAGAGCTGTGCGTTGTAGTAATGCATTGTGAAAACATGTTACCTCAGTGCATGGCAACGCAGGATACCTGGCAAAATGTACCATTTAATGTAATTCAATTTAAATGGCACCCCAATGCACCGTGTAGGTTCTCCAAACCACTTCTTCAGTTCTAACGAGTGTCAGGAACATACTCAGAAATTATATCCACAGAGGTAGTACAGACACCTTATCAACCCCCTCCCCCCGTCCTCTCATTACTACAATGTTCCTATAAAATGACATTCTCATAGTCTTCTATCTTCACCTCTCTGACTCTACATAATAGGCAGACTAGATTCTTCGTATAATTACCTGTTTTCTGCAGACAAAGAAGGAGCAGAAATCGTACGAGCAACATGATGAATCTGGAGAATCATCTGCACAAAAAATACTTTCACTTTCTTAACACAAATAAAGCCTACATAACATAGATAAAGCCTACATAACATAGATAAAGCCTACCTTCCGCAGGTATTCATGAAATGAGATTTAGAATGAGAACTGAATACCATCTGTTGTGTAGCGCTCACCCGCGAAGGAGCCGCTGGATGAACAGGTCCATATCTAGTCAGTCTAGGGATAGATTTCCAACTGCCCCATTAGCATTAACCGCCCTCTTCCTGTGCCCATAAATTGAAGTCCGCTCCAATCGTGAAATGCTGGTTAAACAGTTTATTCACTTCTAATTAGGGAGAGAGGGTATAGGGTCTAGGTGCACCGGCCTCCATAGCTCCAGACTCACCAGATCTTATCTTCGTGAAGTACATCTCCACAATCCTTGGAAGAACACTGACCCCACTCAGAAGTCCCTCTGAATACCAGGCACTTCAAAAGCCCACACGGGTCCTGATTCTTCCATTCTTACAGGCATTCTCCTGACTGCAAACTCTCAAGGAGGCCTCTCCTTCAGCAGCTCAGCCAACTCCCACCCCCAGGCCTCGGCCTAGCCTAGGGGCAGGCTGAACAGGACCCAACCTCAGTCCATGGCTGGTCCAGACAAGAGAGCGAGCACATGGCCTCCCACCAATATATATATCCTTTGTCAGCAGACATCACTGGCTACAAAAAGCCCAGTAACTGGCTGCTGCCCTGTAC